TTAACTGCAACACTTTTCACAATAACAAAAGATGCAGATAGCCTAAAAGTCCATTAACAGAAGAATGGTTAAACAAATTTTGATACATATACACAATGCAAAGTTGAAGAACAACTGTAATACCTCATAGTGTGGATGAACCTGGAGGACGTTATGCTGCGTGAAGTTAGTCAATAACAAAAGAATAAATATTTTATGAGACCACTGTTATAAAAAGTTCAGAGAAGATTTTCTTTCTGAAGGAAACATTCTATGATGGTTACCAGGTGTGGGAAGGAAGGAAAAATTATTCACAGGCTAGATAGTATACATATGTTAACTTGGGTAATGGGGAGGCTATATACATCAAGAGGGAAAGATAAAAGTAGGGGAAGACACAGGAGGAGTGCAAGAGGTACAGTGAACAGAGTTAAATACTGTTAACTGATTGGTACTGTAGAAGGGATTTCAATCACTGTAAGGCCATAAAGTGTATGACTTGTTGAATGTGGGACTGATAGATCTGTTCTGTAAACCTTCACTCAATTCTCAATAAAAATATTTTAAAAAAGAAGTAATGCTTTTTAGGGAATTGGATTTTCTCAAGGCAGAGAGAGGAGGTAAGGGTATTAATGTGATAACAACTCTCAGAGCTAGGAGAGGCAATGAAAGATAGACCAATGCCATCACTCCTTACCTATACGGCTTTTGACTTCCAATTGCAGAAGTGACTTCATTAGCATACATGGGATCTTGTAAGAGTGTACCTTTCTGAAAGAAGGAAAAAAAGAGAAATAATTAGAATTTTTGCTTAAAATCTTTGTTTCAAATCCTAAAGATTTTGGAGCCATGGAGGCTAGATGAACCCTGAATCTACAATTTCCAGTATAGTTCAATGACAAAAGTCAGTCAAATGTTTGTCTTAGTATACAATACACAAGGGAGCTTCAAAAAGTTTGTGGAAAAATGGAATGAAAAGTAATGGAATTTTTCCACGAAATTTTTGAAGCCCCTCATACAGTACACCCTTCTACAGATTTAAAAAAAAAAAAAAAAGTTCAAGAAACACCTTCAGATACACTAAGATATCTTTAACATAATACAGTAATAATAATACAGTTAATGCATGTCATAAAATAGTACTCGTTTGTTTGTTACAATCCATTGTATGCACCTAATGGCGGTAGGGTGTGGTGGCTGTGGTTTGCAAGCTGGACAGGATCTATGAGATGCTGGTGCTGGCAGAGCTGCTGGTGTTGAGCCCTGTCCTTGTCCTATTATCATTGTGGGGCGCCAGGGCAGTAGGTGTCTTATCAAAGGTCTACATAAACTCCTCAGAACAATCAACCGAAGTAGACCAAAAGAACAGCATTTGTCTAAAAACAAAGCTCAGAAGACAGGAAGGGCAGGAAAAAAGGATGAATGACAACAGGGACCCAGGGAGGTACTGGGAGGAGCCCTATGGTATTGAGGGGATTGCAACTAATGTCACAAAATGTGTATAAATTGCTGAATGGGAAGTTAATGTGCTCTGTAAACTTCCATCGAAATAACAAAAAAAGTTCAAAAAAACCCCAAAAAAATCATATATATGACATGGAGAGATGGAACATCTGGGGACCTTAGACACAGAGAGGGAGAATGGATGTGTGCTGAGGGGAAGGGGGGCAGGCTTGTAGGATATACCCTTTGGTTGGTTGATGATGCAGAGGACTGTAACCATGGCAATGAAACGATATACGATAGGATGAATATAAAACTAATGCTCTCCCATGTAAACTATCACATAATTCACAATAAAACATTAAAAAAAAAATCATACATAAGAGTGAAAAAATGCTTTTTTGTCCCTACCCCATGGCCATCTCTCCCACCCCAGGTCTAAATGTTTATGCTTACCTTAAATCTAGAATTTTAATTTGAAAGCCAAAACCCAAAAACCAAACCCACTGGCCTCAAGTTAATTCCAACTCAGACCAACCATATGTAGAGTTTCCAAGGTTTGAATGTTTACAGGAGCAGCAGCTAGCAAAGTTGAACTACTGACCTTATGGTTCGCTTGTTGTTAAATGTCATTGAGTCAGTTCTGATTCCTAGCCACCCTGTAAAGGATTTCCAAATAGAGACTGCTGGGATTGAACGACTGACCTTGAGGTTAGAAGTCCAGTGTTTATTCTACAGCGCCACATCAGGACTTCATGTGGTTAGCCACATTAGTTATTTAGCTTCCTAGCACTCTCTCTACAAACATATAAAGAGAAAAGACCTATGAAATTTCTTTGGAGAATTTGAGATGCTAAAAAATTCAGATGTAACTATTTTTGGTAAAAGTTACATTTTAAATTGGTTATTGAAGGGGACTAACTTTTTGGAAACAATTAAAAGCAAGATGGGTGCTCTTTGTAATTGGATGGTTCAGGTTAATTTTACTTGAAAATATATAGAAAGTTCAATTAAGATGTCCTATTATTTTCTCTGGTAGCGTAGTGGTTATGAAATCGG